CAAATGTAGGCCAGCCACCCAAGCTCAGAGGCCTGTACTCACACTCAGAGTCACATCAAGCAACAGACCACAAAAGCTTTTGTTAAATTACTATTTTCTGTCTGTTCTGCAGTGTATGAATGTTGTGACAACCAGAAGTTAACCAAATTCACAGCAAGAAATGAATAATTATATTTTTTTTCCTATGAAAACATGAGTCTACTTTCTCTTTGGGTGGATTATGGTTGCTATCACATGGGAAGCTTAAATCAGAGACTTTAACAAATCATCTTATTTACAGATAATGTGCAGTGAACTAGACAGGCAGGTGTACAGTAACGCCCTTACATGTTCTCTGCCCGACAGTAGCTGTCACTCTCTCTAAATACTATGAACAAAAAACAAGCATCATTTCACCTCTGTGAAACACAGCAAAACTGTATTGAAGTCAAGTTTAAGTAGGCACTGATACTGCTTATGTATAAGTATATCCTCATGACTTCTCTTAAGCACAGAAAACATTATCTTCATTTTGCTGAGAAGGAACATCAGGAAATTCTGACTCTTACAAAAATCAACTGAAATGTTACCACTGAAGGCAGGACGTCACCCAGAAAATAGGCACCAGAGTTTCAAATGTATTTAGAAATCTATTATGGCATGAAATGCAGTCAGAAAGCACTGACCAAGCACAGCAGGGTACATAAAGTATTGTGCTTTATAAAGCTATAAAAAGAGTTCCCCAAGATAGTCTTCTTCATATTCTGCCATCACTTTACATTAATACATGGCTGAGATTTCAGCCACTGGGGAAACATCCTCCTCTATGAAGAAGCTAGTAATTTAAAGACAGTAAGGTCATGTCAAAGACATAAACCAAGTTTGGGAAGAAGGAAGAACCGAGAAACAGTCCAGGTAGTGCACAAGAAGTAACACATTTTAAGAAAGAGGAGTAAAAAGGTGGAGTTTTAACTGACTCCAGAGTCCTTCGCCAAACAAGGTAGGAAACACCATTGAAAATATTTTCCTGTTACTTGGTGGGATTAATAAACTAGCAGACGCATCAATATTGTCACTGAAGAATACATCCCTTTTCCCTATTATCCACTCTGGAATATTTGGTAGTATTTTAAAGTCCTTCATACAGCTCTAGATGTGGACGTAGAGGTCTAAGTGCAACATAATGCCTCCCATACCACACAGGATGAAACTGAGGACTTAAAATGGAGAATGTTGGTCTTACAGTTTTGCTCACTGAATCCAATGAAAAACAGACACCTTAACATAAAGCATAAACCATTTAAATGGGGGCTGAGAAGAACACAGCCCAGCAAGTGCTGTGTTATTCAGTCCAGCTGGTGGGAGTTGGAAATGATACAGGATGTACAAAGTTTCATTTCTGCTGGGATCTGTAGTGTTCATTTCTTACTTAAGAGGACAAGGATAGAAAGAAGTCTTGGACAGAAATCTGGTGTCCAAGAATAGAGAGATTAATTATATTGCTGTAAATCCTGCTGACATCAAGGCAAATATACAGGGAGGAAGTCATGATTCCAACCATCTGTTTACGGAGCAAGAAAAAAAAGTTTTTCAGCCCCCTCAGATTTTGAGAAAAAAAAGACAGCACTTCAGAAAAAAAAAAAGGCAAAAAAAAAGCCAACAACCCAGAAAATCCCACTGAGCAATCCTGATTGCAAAAATGAGAATCCGTATCTCTCTACGTTCAAACCTTTAAGTGTGTACTGTGAAACAAAACCTCTATCCCACGTTAGTGTGAAACACAAGAGCTATGGGTATGTCAATAGCATGGAATGTTTAACTTGCATTTTAGTGTATAACTCTCCAGAACATCAATGTATCTGTGCTTATTATTACCAACACTAAGAAATGCTGCAGAACAAGGTAGTGGAGTACATCTCCAACACAAGAACAAGGCTGGACATATTAATGTAACCTAAAACTTCTTCAGGGCATAGACAGTTGCTCTTCATTTTATTAATTATTCAAAAAGGTAGTATTGCTTTAATCTGCTTGCTGTGCATGCAAGGCAGTAAGTTTGTTTTGTAATGAAAAATCTCATTTGGAACAGTATAAAATAGATGCAGCAGATTGCCTAATTTTGATGTCAGTCTGCTTTTTCTGGCTGTGTGTTTCATCAGTGTCAATGGAACCACCCTCAGCCTTAAGTAGACTGAGCTGCTTCTCCCCCTTCTGTCCCTAGTTCTCTCTCAAGGACAGAAACTGTGGTAATGAAAATACAGACTGTTTATGCTAAACATCCTAAAAAGCCATTAATTTTTTGGCTGCCATGATATGCAAATATGCCTAATTTCTGTAGAAACCATTAAAATCTCTGCACTTTCAATCAGATTCTACTGGGTTTATATTAATACATCATGAGTTCAGCAAAATGCGTAAGGAGATTCTAAGGATTAAAACATATTTGTAGTATTTCTGTCCCTTCTCCACTCCCTCCTCTAAGTGAGGAGAAGTGAAAAGTATTTCTGCTTTTTAGAGCAGAAATTGTACTTCATGCAGTAATGATGACAACCACATGGATTCTAAACAAAAGCAACGGCTTGCACGAACAAGCACCCACTGTACTGCTAATATGCTAGATAGAAGCACTGCATTATTGCCTGGTCATACAGTCATAGTTTTCCATCTCTGGCATTCACTCAATTTTCAGATAAAAGTTTGAAAATTTAAGCCACTGAAAACCTCTTAAGAAGAGACTGCAATATAACTAGCAATGAAAAAAGTAGGGCCTTAAATGAAAGACAAAACAGAATAATGAGGTTAGAGGTCCTATCCTGACAAGGAACTGAGCTGGGTTACAACAACTTATTTGCCAGTTAAGGATTTTTCCAACATGGAGCCATCCCAGTCATCCATTCTCTTCGCTTCATAGTCCAAGAACAACAGGGATGCGGAATGATGGGATACCAGTATGCTCATGCTACGTATGGCTAGTTTGAAAGCCCTTAGGTGCTGCTGTAGCCCACACAAGACAAGAGTGGATGCTCTACTTACTATATTACACCTCTCTAATTTGGAATGTGGCCAAAATTCTGTTACAACTGGCATGCTGCACCAGGGTTTAAATGCATCTTTGTTCAACGTCTTTGGTTGCACGAAAAGATGCTTACTTCAGCTGAAGTGAGAGCTGGAGCTTCAGCATAACATCTTCAATACCTTCTTCTCCTTGGCTTTGTAAAGCTAAGTGGCCTGACAAAGATGTATTTTGTTTAGTGGTCCTCATGTGTTCCCCTCCCAATAACTTAAGTGCTCCAGTAGTATGTCATGAAGCAAACAAGGTTGGACTTTTCTCAGGCAGGGGAGCCTCAAGCCGGCAACGCTAATTAACTAACCCGTACTGATCTGTACTAATATGTACAGCACACAATAGGGTAACTAGCTCTTTATATGCAACAGTATAAACCATATTTCACAGTAAGAGAGGTTTTGTGGCCCCATGGCAGGGGCATGGAAATTTGGCCATAAATGAGAAAGCTCCATAATCAAAATCAGAAGTGCTTTACTTGCGGTAATTAACTAGCACTGAGGCGGGCTGCAACTATAACATGGCTGATGGAAAGGACTGGGGATTGACTGCTTCTTCTGGAGAAATAAATGTGAGTCAGTCTTCCCCATCTTTTTTTGAATAAGGGAAAATAGTTTCTAGAATCACAAATCAAAATCAGTTCCAAGAAGAATGTAGTGAAATGCACTGCTCAGGCACCAGAAGAAAAGAGACATTTGCACACTTAAAGGAAACCCCAAATCCATTCATTGCACTCTTTTTCTGCTATTCAATTTTATATACTGTTCAGATTTATTCTTCATTAAATCCTACGCTTTACTGTCTAATGCAACCAACTTCTGACAAAATACACCACTTTTTTCAGCAGAGACAGGAAGGAAGCAAAGATATTATTTCCTCCTTCACCTCTCTCTTCGCCCTTCCCCTCCCTTCCTCCAAAACACTGGTTTTGTGCTCATGTCTGTATTTCTGGATGTGATCACAAACTGACTCAAAACATTTGCCTTTCAGGGATGAAACTCCACCAACTGTCTACACAGATCCATATTTCTGACTCATTTTTCTTCCTCTCTTCCTCACAGCCTCCATATTTCTCACCTTCCATTCTTCTTTTTTTTCTTTTATTTTCCTTAACAACCATCTAGTTTGCACTTCAGAAGGCACAATGAAATAACTGGAAGGGAATTACCAGGGCAACACTTAATACGCCCCTTTATCTTTTACACTTGGAAGGTGTAAGGAGCACAGTATACCAGCTGCCAATGAAAAAAACAAACCTGAACAAAAATAGAGATCTTAAACCACATATTTCTGGAGAAATTCCTGTTCAGAAAAGCAAATGTTATCCCGCAATGTAAAAAGCAGAGTGCATTTTACAGCTTAAGTTTATCAATGTAATTAATTATGTCCCTTCCAAATATTTAATGGATTTTACTTTTTTTTTTTTTTTAATAATTTATGTGTACCTTCCTTCTTGATCGTATTAAGTCAATCTCAAAGTGATTTACAAAAGAAGTCAGTATTATGTTTCCTATCTAACAGGTAGGAAACTGAGCTCGAGACAAGAGACGGACCAAAGGTTAGAGAGCTGGCTGGTGGCAAAGATAAGGATAGTTTCCATTTCTCCAGACTTCTAATTCAATGCTGCAGCAAATGTATCTCTCTGCTTCGCAGTCTCTGGGTGAAATCAAGTTCTTTCAAGATAAAATATGTAATTATTGCAAAATGTTACATTTACCAAAAAAAAAATTGTCTAGAAGTGGCAGACAGTACCAGTCATGTTTATTTGCACTATTTATACATATATAGTACATATATAGTACATATATATATATCAATAAAACTCAGTCTCCTTTCAGACAGAAAACAGATTTCTGTACACTCCAAGGAACACCTTAATGTATTAACATAAATGCACGGAGACATTCGTTTCAGACAAATTAAACCACCTAGGGACTCACAATTAGATATTACCTACCAAATTTTTGGTCAAACCTCCAAGCTGGAACATGTGCATTGTGCTTCAAGTTGCTGTTTGTTGGCAGAGGCACAGTGACATAGATGGGGCCATTCACAGGGACCGGAGTCCCATCACTGTTGAGGAGATGAACGCTGACGGCAGTGACAGGGGTGAGGTCGTACCTCGTGCTGTTTCCTATCGAGAGAATGAATGAACACTGTGACTACAGTATTTTCCAGAATTCAAGATAAACCCATGTGGTTCAACACCGTAGCACTTGACCAACAAACTTTTAAAAGGATAGCAGTAGTAATCTTCCCTACCTTTAAAAATTAATGACAACAAGAATATACTCCTGTATTTTTCACTCAATTTTGGAAAATTTATAAGACAGAAGACCTACCATCTTGGTTTTGCATGGCAAGGTTCTGGTAGGGGCAGAGCTACAAGACAGACCGACTGCTGGGCAAGGCTGAGCCCATCAGTGACAGTGGTAACATTTAAGTATGGGGAAAAGCTGTGCAGCAGCAGTCAGAAGAGAGGAGTGAAAATATGTGAGAGAAACAACTCTGCAGATTCCAAAGTCAGTGAAGAAGGATGGTGAGGAGATGCTCCACCCAGGTGCCAGAGCAGAGGTTCCCCTGCAGGCCATGGAGAGCCACAGTGGAGCAGATATGGACCTGCAGGCTGTATACAACCCCACACTGGAGCAGGTGGATATGCCCAAAGGACACTGTGTCCCTATGGGAAGCCCATACTGGAGAAGGCTCCTGGCAGGACCTATGGATGTGTGGAGAGAGGAGCCCAGGCTGGAGCAGGTTTGCTGGCAGGATTTTTGATGCTGTGGGGGACCGACGCTAAAGCAATCTGTTCCTGAAGGAATGCACCCCATGGAAGGAATCCACACTGGAGAAGTTAATCAAGAATTGCAGCCCATGGGAAGGACTCATGTTGGAGAGGTTCATGGACTGTCTCCTGTGGGAGGGGCCCCATGCTGGAGCAGGGGAAGTGTAAGGAGTTCTCCCCCTGAGGACAGGGGAAGTCCTCTCCCTGAGGAGGAAGCAGCAGTAGAAATGTGTGATGAACTGACCGTAAGCCCCCTTTTGCCTGTCCCCCTGCACTGCTGTGGGGGAGGAGGCAGAGAAATCAGCAGTAAAGTTAAAACCGTGAAGAAGGGAGGGGTGGGGAGGAAGATGTTTTTAAGATTTGGTTTTATTTCTCATTATCCTACCCTGTTTTTATTGGTAATAAATCAAACTAATTGCTCCAAGTTGAGTCTGTGTTGCCTACGAGGGTAAGTGCTGAGTGATCTCACTGTCCTTATCTTGACCCACAAGCCTTTTGTTGTATTTTCTCTCCTCCGTGCAGCTGAGGAGGGGAGTGACACGGTGGCTTTGATAGGCACCTGGCATCCAGCCAGGGTCAACCCATCACAAAAGCCATGCAAAAATTTCCTACATGTATTTTCTCATCTTCATCCATCTTAAACTAAATAGATATGTGTATCACAGCCTTCATCACAGTAAAAAAATACCTCACAAGCCTTTATTTTTAGAAGCCTGTATTATAACTAACAAACATCCAAACATGCAGTGACACTGCAAGGATAATCAGTCACATGTTTAAGAATACCAGGATGTATTTCCTTTGGTCTTCCATTGAAATAAACCAGGCTAAATAGATTATTAGGATACACATTGCTGCATTCTTGTTTCCATAAGATAATAATTATTCTTTATGTTGAAACTGCATGCCAATGGACAGTAGTTCATGACTACATCATTTAAAAAAAAAAAGTTATAACCATTTAACCAAATGAATCATTGACAGGAAAAATTCTAAAGATATATATATGTATTCAGGGCAAAAAAAAGCTTTAGGTTTAAAACCAATGACAGCTGGAGCTCCAAGCAATAGCTGCATTAGTTTAAATCTAAGAGAGAGTTTCCAGTTTCACAAGGGGCTTGAGCTCACCCAGATCCACACTGTGGCTAAGAGCCTCGTTGGTGCTGGCTCAGGGGTTGAGCAGCCACTCATCCTGCTCAGGGGCAAGCCTGAGAGAAGCAACAGGGGTGCCTGGCTGGCAGAAAGTGGGGTACCATCCTTCCTGTAATCCTGATGCCTTACATCAGCTAAACTGCTTGTTAAAGCACATTTGAACCCAACAGTTGTGTGCCACCTTGCTATACCAAGGCACAATAAGGTTAAAATAGTAAAAAAAAAAAAGTGAAAAAAGGACAAACCTCCTCAAAACTCCTAAGAATTCCTAAGAATTTTAAATTATTTGAATTTTGCAAGAGGTGTCAAACTGAGATAACATTGCACATGGCTGATTTACCATAGCACCTACTCTGAGGCACATTTTCCCCAGAATTCAAGGTGAATGTCAGCCACACAGCTGACAGGCCAAGGATGGATGAAAGCACAGGCAAGGGGCATGCACAGTGCTTTGATGTTCTGTGAGCTAAGGGGCAGATGCATATCTTCCGGGGTGATTACAGTCCTGAGAAAAAAGGCACTCTGAAGATGCCCATATAAAAGAGCAACACTGGTAACTGAGAGAAAAAAAACATCAGAAAAATAAGGTTTGGAAATTCAGTTAGGGTGTGGGGGAAGGTTGCCATTCATATTACATATACAAAAATTTTAAAATTTAAAAATAAACAAATATGTTTATAATACAGATTTCAATGATGCTCAATATCATCCCCTTACAGCTTTTGCATAGCAAGTAGAGAGACAGAGGAGAGAACTGGCAGGGAAATATCTATACTTGAATTTTACTTTCATTACCGTCTTGACAAAGCTTATCTGCCTACTATCTGTAAAAATGAGTTTTCAGCCCCAGAAGGAGCATTCTCATGTTGAAACACCATTTGTGTCTTTTTTATTTCAGATGCACTGACACTTTGCTCAGTACTGGGGTAACAAGTTACATTAGATGAAGAAGTTTCTGAAATCAATTGACCTCTGGCCAGAAAAAAAAATTCTGCAGGTTGTCATCTTGCACAGTTTGTAAATGCTAAATAAAAAGATAAAATTTTCCCTTTTCGGTTGTGAAGGTACATTAAAATAATGTAAAAAAAATAAAATGCTTATGAAACTCTCACAGGCTATAAAACTGATAAGCACAGACACAGATTAAATGGTAATGAACTTGAGTATATTTCAGCTTTCATTTATTTATTTTCATTTTTGACATCTGGTGACCTGTAAAGCGCTCTAAAAATATTCAGAGGAAAATCCACTGTTACTTAGACTTGACTCTTTATAAAATGAGACAGTGGATCTACAAAATTAGCAGCAGTAACAGTTATTGGCCAGCCCTGTCCATTTTTGCAGACAATGAGAAACTTTGTTTAATTAAAAGAATAACATATTGTAAAATAATCCTACTGCATTCCCATTGGTGATGAATACAAAGCATGAGGTAACACTGTGCAAGCTTATCACTACTTGGAGCTAAATGCTTCAAATTTTTATGTTTGAAACATGTTGAGAGAGGGAAGAAGGGGCAGCATTAAGGAACAATCCAAAATTTACCGTTCAAAAAAATGCTAAGTTGCTTCCCAATTCCAAAATTTGTATGTACTTTTCTTCTTTTCTTGAGAACAGAGATATGAAAAAATCCTCAGCAGGTGGTGATCTGATTTTTTTATTCCTTCAAAAGATTTCCACGTGAAATCTTCACCGAGTTGCTTAGATGTGCAGCAAAGGATGTAAATTCAAATTTAAGATTTTAAAGTTTAATGTTTCCACAGGAGGAGAAGGTTCTACTAAAAACAGAGGATAAGCCTATGCTATAATGCATATACACATGTACTGTACCTATAGTCTGTACTATACCATACTGGACACTACACAGTATTCAGACAACAAGGCTCCTCTCAAGTTTCTTAAACTCCACTTGTATGCAGGTAATTTTGGTCTTTCACGACATACTTTTACTTGAAGACTAATAAAAGACTAATTGAGGGCCCCCATGTTCAAGTAGAAAAGTTCACGTCATGCACGCATAGAGAAGGCTCAAAAAACAAGAGTGCATTCATCTGCTTTGTAGGAGGCTAAAGGGTAAAACAGGAGAAAGATTATGCCCTCGTTGTGTAGTTGCTACAGGAATTAATAATCTGAAATCTTGGTAAGACCTGTTTCACTATGTAAGTGCAAGGGTGAGAAGGTGGGTTGCAGAGTACTGAGGGAAGATTTTGGAGAGAGGAATCCCACACACATTGTCAGCAGTTTGTTCAGTGAGTTTTAAGACAAAAAGAAAGGAGATGAGGAAGTAGACAGATGAGTAAGATCAAGTGCATTCCTTTCCTTTTAAAAAAGATAAGAGATTTTTGATCGTGTCTGAGTATGAAGAGCCAGAGAAAACAGAAGGTTGAAGATGAGAATAGGGAAATAACAGATGAAGAGATAAGGTGAGAGGTACTCATTGGAGCAGACAAAAGGGAGTAAAGCAGCAGACATTTCTAATTGTAACAGAAAAGGAGAAACTCAGATTCAGACACAGGGAAGAGGAAGTTTATTTTCTTTAAGGTCTTTGTTTGTTTGTTTGTAGTTATGAAGGAAAAGCTAGCAAGCTCAGTACTTACCGTTTGCACAGATGACATTGCATTCAAAGTCACCAAGACCAACACATGACAAACAAATGCATCCTGAGAAGCAGCAGGGAGGACCTCAAGGGGCTATTCAGCCTGCTTCAAAGCAGTCTTGGCTGTGCTTATGCCATCCTGACAGGTGATCCTCTAACTCTGTCCAACACCCTCAAGCAATTGATTCTACAGTTTAAACTATCCTCACCATAGCAAGAGTTTCCTAACCATGAGCATGAAACTCTCCTGCTGCACTTCAAGTCCACCACTTGCTTTCTACTCCCATGCAGACACAGAAGACTTTATTCTCCTTTTTGCAGCAGCATTTTAAGTATTGGAAGATTTCTATGCCAATTTCTTCTGGTTTTCTTTAGCCTACACAACATAAATTATTTCTATTAAGACTAAAAGAGAAGTGCAAGACTAGCAAGCAGTTGCAGTCATAAAAATGAATTGCATCTTTGACTTTAACACTGTGTTTCTATAATGAATTTTCATTGGTTTCCCTTTGGTGCTAGAAAATTTACACATTTTTGGCTGAAGGTAGATTCAAAGTACTGAAACAACCTTTAGCTGAAACAACAGAGTGTTAAACCCCTGATACGGAGGTATTTTATTTCTTTTTAGAAAAAAATGAAAAAGTTAAAATTCTCTTTTATCCCTTTATGTTAGTCTCTATTTTTGTATGTGCATACATGACACATTTGGTGACTTAGCTCTAAACTACAAGTGTAACAAACTTTTCTGTATTCCCAAAGCCAAGGAATCTTCATCATCAGTGGACCCATTTAAGAGATAGCAGACTTGCTCTCTGTCTTATTGGAACAGCATTTTAGTGGACATTTGAACCTAGCACATAATCCAAATTTTAAGGAATGTTTTCTGGAATGGAAACAATTATATGGTCAAAAGTCTGTCCCTGGACCAACACAAAATCAGAGCAAAACTGAAGTAGTGGGTTACCTGTTCCATTTCCATCTAATCCCTGCAAATAAGGAAAACTGTCCACTTCCCAGGGTGAACTGGCTGCAGTCAGATATGCTGTCAAATCACTGTAGCTAGTGTTTTCTGGTAATTTCACAGATCTTCTTTGAAAGTGAACTTGTGGCTGAGTCCGCGCACCTAAAAAAATTAGAAGTGACTTTATATCCAAGCTGGGCAGAATATTTAGATGCTCCTATTTACAGAAGAATATTTAAAGTTAGATTATTTATTTCATTATAAATTGCAATAGCTTGAGAAGGACAGAGATGTTGGAAAGCTGCTAAGAAAGAATAAGAAAATCAGTATGTTTAGGCTTATTTTGAGTGGACATTATTTTTCCACATATCACAGAGCAAAATTGTGAAGGCATCTAATATCAGAAACTTTTCTGACTATGCTAAGATTTTCTATGAGACAATTCTACCTGTAGTTTCAATTAACTTGTGTAATTTCTATATTTAACTTTTACTGTAATTTCTTATTTAACTTTGGCCATGTTAATCTCTAGTACTGAGATTACAGTAACTTTTTATTTAAATCACTGGATAAATAGATTCACTGCGACAAATCCTGGGTGAAAAGTTTCTGTATTTTCCCACTCAAAGAACACACCTAAACAGAACCAGACGACTTGGCATGTAAGATTTCTCTCTTTTCCTCTCTCTTGTACAGTTTTAGCATTTTTTTTTCAACATCACTATGTGTTAATTGAAGGGTCTTTGCTGCAACATGATTTAAGACTGTTACATGCACTGTGGCATTTAATGTCTCATCTACATCTCAGTTTATAAGGTCAATAGTCTTTTTCAATGGACGCTCACCATTAATACTGTTTAGCAACACACAGCAAGACTCCACCTGCAAGTTTGTGTGCAACATGCACATTATTTTTTAAATCAAAAGCTACTGTATTCTCCAGAGTTCATTTTAAATACTCGCAGAACACTCCCCACAGAGCAGAAGATGTAGGCAAGCAGGGTTTCTTTTTTCAATTCACATTTGACCATGCAGTTCAAAGATGTCAACTCAAAGCAGCTTTGCATCTTTTTCCCTGCTAGTCTTTGGCAGCACTTTTAGGTTACACAGAACTTCACTGCGAGAAAAATTAAAGAGCTTGACTCACAACACCTCAGCTTTGTAACTCCTGATGTCATTAACCAGGAGACCAGAATTCTTTCTTGCGTTATTTTCTAGCGGGATCTTTAGCCATGAGAAAACATAAAACTCCACAGAACAAACTTTGTATTGGCCAACAAAAATTGCTATGTAGGCAGGCAAGTATCTCCATAGAGCAGACCATTGTTTAGCTGTCATGTCTTTGGTAATTCTGCAAGAAAAAGCTATAAAACCACTTTTTAAATTTCTAACACATTTAAGTATTTACAGCAGGCTCTCAAGACTGGCAGTATCATTAAGTGTTCTAGTTAGTTATTAAACAACACCCACGTGAAACAGGAAGAAATCTCCCTTATCCAATTTCTAGGCTTAAATGGAGAACAACATAAAAGACTAAATAAATTGACTGCAATGAACTTGGGGAAGACATCTCTCCTGAGTGCTCTGCAATACCACAGTAGTTAAGCTGTACCTTCGGGACAGGTCTGCTCAAGCACTCAGGAAGCTCTGACTGCACTGTTGAGTGGGCTCCCACAGCCTGCAGGGATAAGCATCCACAGTAACAAAACAAAAAAACCCCCACAATAGAAAAAAATACAACCCACAACAAAGACCGTGACATTAGGATTATCACTAACAGTTCAATGTAAAATTGTAGGATTTCCTGCTCTCTAAATCTCTGGTTAAGATTAATTATTCGAGCTGCCAAGAACTAGTATTGTATTTTGAAAGATTCAACTAATTACGAATTAAAAGCAAAGTAACTGTTGCTGAGTCTGTAACACAGTAGTTTATGGGGAGACTCTGGAATTTTCTATTAAAAAGGGGTTGCACTGGGAGAGCCGTGAGCTGCCAAATTTTAACCAGATAGGGAAGACTCAGAAAGCCAGCCTTAGTTTCCTAAATCCTACAGGCAAAGCAAAGCATTTCTACAGGCAAGACCCAAACCTGGCAGGAAATCTGCACAGCAATCAACTCAGATACAATTTTTAAGGTGGAAGAAACAGCTTCCTCTGTAGATAGTGCACGTACATACAATAAAACCATGCAGAGATGGTAACTCATACCCCAAGTTAACAAACTCATTGATATTTACCTGAAACCTGCCTGTCACCCCTCAGCTCCTCAATTGAGTCTCCCCAGACCCAATAAGAGATTTCAAAGAGGCGGAAGACAGGGAGCTACCAAGAAAAGGCTTGTAAAAAAGGAAGATTCCAAGGCCTTCACCTTCTCTCACCACCTTGTTTATAGGATAATCCAAGGTACTCCTATAACAGAAGTCACGGAGTATTTCTGGGCTTATATCTGGGAATAGGTGTATTGAGGGAATTGAAAGTGCTAAAATGAAGAAAAAGACTTTGCAGACCAGCTTCAGAGTATTATTCAACAAGCCAGCTCTTGTTGCTGGGAGTAGCTTATTGTTTCTGTTACTAAAGAAACCCAATTTTGACTTATAAACCCAAACACATTCAAGTGTAAAACTGTCATATGAGTTCCCTGCACTTGGTGAGTGCCATAAGGGGAAGGACTTCTGAGGACTGATGCTATATTCTTTAAATATCCCCTCATCAGCATACCAGCCATGGTTCAAAAGCTGCTGGCTCCAGTTGGCCAGCGCACACCTGAAGACGCAACCACCTCGAGGAGCTCCTGTGAGGCACCTCTTGCCATCCTGGATGCGTGACATGTGGCACCACACCAGCATCTGAGTTCAGTCTGAGGTAACATCTTAAGTGTAATCAGTTAATGCTCTGATTGCTCTTATGTCAGTGGCAGATACGGAGTATCCGTACAGCTCCCATTCATGAACACTGAAGTTCAACTCGTCACTGTGCTGGCATTAAATAACTTAAATGACCCCGTGGCTGGCGAGCCCCGTCCCTTGCAATTACTGACAGAGCACAGCAGTGGATGGTGATGCCACCATGGAAATGAAGCTGCATCAACTCAGACAAGCTTCTCAATTGCATAATAAGTCGCTTGCTTAATTATTCAAAAGCAATTGGTAAGATTGTACTAGCCAGGCCATTCTTCCCTTTGGTGCTTCAAACACCAGTGTTCCCAGTCTGTTCCTGGTATAATGAGTTCTGTTTTACCCATTTTTGCACTAAGGTAATTCCTGATCAGCTCTTTTGAAGCAGCTCAAAGTTACTGGGAAATAAATTGGAGAAGTAACAGAGAAAAAGTAGGTCAAAAGGATTTTGGATTGAGACTAGAGAGGCTCCATTCAAATGCTGGTACAATGTCTAGGCTGTCTTTCATTTAGGTTTCAGCACAAAAGAATTGTCAAGAAAAGGAGCGTGGGCTGGTCCCATAAAATAGTTTTTACTGGGAAACACTGAAACTTCAAATTCCAGCTCTTATAATACTGTGGGTATTATTTTCTTCCTTTATCCTCTCTTTAGCTACACCAGCAGAATCAGTTACATTATTCTAATCTAAATATATTAGGAACACCTCGGATCAATTCACTGAAGGGAGTAAGATCATGTGGAAGAAATTTATGAGTGTCACTCAGCTGTTAAATGTCCCTCTAGCCTTTTAACATCCCCCATTTTTTTGAAAAAAGGAAGCTGTAAACATGAAAAAAATTGCTCTTTTAAAGTTAATTGCATAATATTAGGACATTTGCATAAGAATAAGTTTTTTACTACATTATGCTAGTAGAATACTGTTGGTAAACAATGTTTCATGTTTTGTCTAATGGAATCTGTTGTGGTTTAACACAGTTCACTGTCCATCTAATTTACCCCATTAGATAATGTCGACTCTCAAATTGCAGAATATACATAAGGCAGCTGTGCTGTTCTCCAGCTCCTTCTGTGCATTTCATCAGCTACCTAATTTGTTTAGTGCTTTTTCAGCTCCAGTCATGTCTAGTGCTATCATTAATGAAAAGCCTATTGTGTCTGGATGATTTCTAACTGTAAGAAGAAAAATGTTAGGAAGGCATAATTGCATTATATTCCCTTAGATAAGACAAGGTTATCTTGAAATATCATTGCAGGTAATATTGCCCTGTTTATTAACTATCTGGTAGAGTTTAGAGTGATGGTAATCTTAACACACACAATACATTTTATGCACAGTACGTATGTCCCCCTGCTTTGGTTCACCAAGGTATCTTTACAAACTTCTGTCCTTCTGCTAACAGACTTACCTCAGCTATCACATCAATTTGGCTAAATTAGGTCAGATACCTAGGTCAGATGAACATTTTATTCTTTACTGTGCAAATCAGAAAACACAGTGTTCATTTGACTCATACTACAGTTGCTTTAACTTCTGTCTTTGGCCTTGTGAAAAGGTAAGTTGAATTTTATTCTTCTAATACAGTAGGTTTCATCCTGCAGTATGTGAATTCGTAGGCAGACTGATAAGGGCTCCACAGGAATTAATTGCAGATATGAGAAATTTTTAACTGTTCTATACCCTAAATGTCTCAGGCATTCACAGTAGGAAGCAATAAACAAAATAAAATCAGAGAAAAATCTTAGCCAATCAGAACATCAGTAAATATTTACTGCAAGGACAGTCAGATGAGGCGAGACGAAAAAACATCTAACAGATAACAGAAGAAATTTAATCTTTAGCTCTTGAATGGCACACTAAAGTCCACTCTTGTTTATTACCAAGGAACTTGATTTCCCTAGTCACGACAGTTACAGATGAATTTGGTAATTCAAATAATAATCATAATCAATCAAATAATAAATTTGGTAAAAACATTCTACAGAGGAGCATTCCTGGGGAAACTCAGAAAAATTCCCCATGATATACCACTCAAACCCATGGGGCAGAGTTCAGAAAGTATCAGGCTGTCATGCTTTTTGTTTAAAGCTTCACTCAAATTTCAATTTCAACTTCCAAAATCCAGCATACCTTGAAATCCTGAGACTATCTGGACTACATCATCATAGACCATTAGAGTTGCTGAGCGTTCAGGAAGAAGGCCGAGACTCAGTGAAGAGAACACTGTGGAAGAGAAGTGGTTTAAGTGGGATATATTTGAATTCTTATAAACATAACCCAACAACAACAGTACTTACTTTCTGCTTTCTTCTACACTTTTGCAAAAGCAGACCACCCGAACTATTAAAATCATATTGTATACATGACAGAAACCACATGCATTGTCTAAACCAAATAATTACTTTGACAGGGTAATTATTATTGAACTAAACAACATGTTCTATGCTTTGACTCTGATAAAGCCACGCACAGCAGCTCAAAATACAGAAGGCTGAAGTGAAAAGCAAGGGTTTGGGTTATAATTCCCAGCTCTGCAGAAAAACTTGTTGTTACATAAAGAGGAGTGAAACACGAACTCAGTCTGACTGAATTACTGTTTCTGCAGAACAGTTACACTTCTTACCTCAGGAAGTTTTTAATGAAGTTTAACTTCTAAATACTTTGAGATGCTTACATAAAAAGTCACACAGAAAGGCAAAGTATGATGAATAAGTGAATAATTTGCTTTAAAATACACCATGTCCTTACTGAGTCACCACCCACACTACGGAATAGCTATGTATAGCAGAACTACCGTCATTCTACCATGTGGTGTGAGAGGGGACAGATAAATGGTATTTGCTGCAAGAAACCTGTCTGCAAAGGTCTCTTCTGCCACTGGGTACTGACATTCCTTATAGAAGGCTGTGTCTGTATGCACACACGTTTGGAGAGTGAAGAACAGGACATAATTTCATGCACAGTTCTTCAGACCCAGAAGACCAGAAATGTGTACAGAATTAGCCACTGAGCACACCTGACTCTTGCATCCATGAAAACAATAAGAAGTAGATCTGTCTGCAGTTCATGCTTGGCTTTCAAATACAGGAGAAGATTAATGCAGACTAGTGATTTTTTGTAATGCATCCCCCATTTGCACCTGGAAAGAACTCATCCCATTCTGATTACAAGCTGAGGAAGACATTTCCAAACCAATTAATAAAATAACAGTACAAACTCTTCTGATTTTCTGAAGCTTAATAAATTTCCTCTAAGTTGATAAGTATTATTTAACCCAAGAGACCACATAGATGTTAGAAACAAATAAGGAGACTGCACATCATTTCTCTTTTAAGACATCTATTTTTAAATTCAGAAATTTTAGAGCTCAGGAGAAGTACAGGAGAGAGGAAAAGAAACTAGGAGAAACACACTGATAAGAACTACCATCTAAAATATGTTCTTAACAGATATGAACATTAAAAATAAAGTTACTGTAAGTACAGATGAGAGTTTCCTTTCCAATGCTCTACATGTGAAACAGAGCTACATGTCAGGCAACATAAGTAAAAATGCCAAGTGTAAGTAGCACTAGGGCCAGAATTACAAAAATTTGTTTTTCTTTACTCCAATAATTTAAATTGTATGAAGAAAGTGAAAAAAATTTAGACACCCTAGGGAGCTCAATACAATAAACCATGCCATCACCTTCTATATTGCCGTATTTATAATGCTTATATTACCTCTAAACTTCCCCTGTGCTTTTCTGTACAATTTTTTCTCAGCACAACAAATGCAGAAGTCACAGTTTTTAAGGCCAGAAGGATGACTGTGATGATCTAGGCTTACTCCCATATAACTACAGCCTTCCCTGAATTAATAACTGCTTCAGATCCAACAGCTGTGCTTAAATTAGGACACGCTGCAGACAAACTATCCAATTTTCTCTTAAAGGTGAAGACTACACCACAATATCAATCCTCTAGTAAATAATTATGAGGGCAGTAAAACTATGTGCCTTTTTACCCATCAAAATTTATTGAGGTTAGACTTCCAGCCATTTGATCCTCTTTATACACAAGCCTGCTAGACAGAAGAATTCTCTCTTACCCGTTTCCTGTTCTCTATGCAGGTACTGATGACTATGATCAAATTACCCCATGAATTTTCTCTCTGGTGAACAAAATAAATTAAGGAATTTCAAGTCCTTCCCTGTAAGTCACATTTTCCAATCTTTTAATCACTCCTGACATAACTGCAGTTCTAAGCATTCTTCTTTAAGTGTGGATCGAGAACCGAACACACTTCCCACAGCAGCTGCACCAAGGACGAGTTCTGAAATACCATACGCTGCCTCCTCAGCCTTCACCTTATTTTACAGCTAAGGATCATACTATTCCTCTTTCTTGCAGTGAGAGGTTATTTTCAACAGTTCATCTACCATGACTTAAACGTCTTCTGCAGAGTCACTACTCACTAGGTGAGTTCTCCTCTCTCAGAAATACCATGAACATCCTCTGCTCCCAGAACTACAATTCACCACAGTGAATACCACAGTTTGCTTTGACCAACCCTACCACACAGGCTGAACTGTGCTGCTGCAGCTACTTCCCTCTCTTCATTGTACACACTGCTCCAAAACACCCTGGACTAACAGTTACAAACCTATTTTCTTCCAAATTATTTACAAAGAAAAATCTGCATAGCCAAGAATAGATAGATGAGAACATCTTCCATCATGAACACTTCTACAACTCAAGTGATGTTAAATTAATGAACTGTTAATAAGTGGAGTCATGGCTCTGCTGATAAACAGTTTAATGGAAGAGATCTTAATCTTTTCTTTCTACTATTAACCACTATGTAAGCAAATAATCCTCCTGCTTAAGTGGAGCAACTAACTATTTTGGTTATTACAAGAAAAGTTAATCTCTGCCGAATTATGAGAACAGAAAACTCTTGATGCTTACTCCTTAAAGCTATTACAATAAGATAATGAGTTCAGAGGCTGCATAGTGTTTTAGCATAAGATTGTAACTAATGCATATTCACTGTGGTGGAAGAATCCTGATCCTTTGGCAATGTCCCATTACAGCACTTTCAAACCTACTCCCCAGTCATGGTTATCATTTCCATATTGAAGCGTCGGAAGTAAACACATCCGTACCTCATTCATCACAGCACACAGGACAACACATGAGCTTAAACCACTGCTGTGGGTGGACTGCTGCTCAGAGTGCTGTATCTGCTCTATGGGCTTGTACTGTTAAAAGGCATTTTTGGGAAATGAAGATCCCACTGTACTCGTGTGGCCACGAATCAACATTTAATTATGCTGCCTGTTTGCCATCATTCGACACAGATGAAACATAGTAACAAAGCTCCCACAGTTTTAAAAACTTCTATACTGTGCCACTTACAAATATGATAGGCATTTAAATACAAACGGTTCTTGTTAAGTTTAAAAAAAAACAACAACAAAAACCCCTCGAAAAAGAGCCAAAGAATCTTGGGCCTGAACTTTTATGGCATATCCCTTTAAAAAAGTAACTCAAGGAACAACCCTATTAAATCTGCATGGGAGTATCAAGTTGTACCTTGTTGTTTCTTTAATCAAAGAAAGGATTAAGTTCATGGTACAGAAAGCAGAAGAAAGGATTCTACTCTCAATTAAATCAATGGCCAAATATCTACCAGTTTCAGTGGGGGAAGATCAGAGGTGAAAGGCATCTATATTCTGAGTTGAAGTCACATTTCAAACATAGAAAGAAAGACTTTGTGGAAACTGTATACAATTACTGGTCTTTAAACTTTAATGATTTACAAAAACAATAATGCCATGTTTGATTCCCTTCTCTCAAAACCAGGATTTATGAAAAAGCAAAACATCTAACCAAGCCAACTTCAGGCTATTGAACAGTATGTGTATTCAAAAAATCTAGAGGATGAGTCAGAAAAATACAAGACAGAAGACAAGAAAAGCTTCACAAAAGAAAAGGCTATTGCATGCTTTAATCATCTATTATCGTGTTTTAAGAAAATACATGAAGTATGATGAGGAATCATAGAATCATCCTGGTTGGAAAGGACCTTGAAGACCATCAAGTCCAACCATAACCTAAATCCAACTACCATAACCTAATCTACCTATTTAGCATTACAGAAATAGTTGTCACGGCTCAGTTTCCCCTCCTGTACAACTAACATAAAGTTACCCACTCCCCATGAAATTTGAGGCATTCTGATAAAATTAGCATGCATGTATTACTGTTACACTTGTTTGCTTGACTAAGAAACAAACCATTCCAATTAATATAGAAAAAAATCCTTACATCTGTATAACGTAACTGCAGATTAAAACTGCCCTATGGACATGGCTAAGAACGGAAAGACCAGGGCTTTATTTTTTTTGCACACAACAGTCCACGATGCAACAGTTGTTGCCACACCTTAGGAGAGAAATGAATGAGTGCATCACAGCCGTTGAAACAGAGCACCTGAAAATAGAGTTCCCATAAAAAAAAAGATCTGGAATAGGTGTTATTTTCTGTGGAGCTGTAAGAGCACAAACAGTTGTTTGAAAACTGATGTAGCACTGTATTAAGGACAGCCAGGAGCAGAGTGAACCTCTGCACAGCCCTGATGCCACAGTTCAACTGAGGAAGAAAACTGGTTGTTTTTTTAAAACGCGCAGATGTTCTTCCTCCCACCCAGGATCGCAAGCATTAAAACACATCATACAAAACTGTGTAACTTCATTTAGACGCAAAATCTTACCTCAGAACAAAAATAAAGATCTCTTACCAGGCAATCTTACAGGTTTCCATGGTGCAGAGTTTGGCACATATGCATGTTTACTAGCAGTCACTATCAGCTGATTGCCCAATTTATATTGAAACTTGAGGAAGGCCGTGCCATCTGCTCCTGAGGTTCCAGATGCAATGGAGATCTGGTTGGTAAAAATCTCAATGAAGGCTTCAGTTACTGGCTGATGTGTGCTGGCATCGCTTACATGGACCTTCAGCGTTACTTCTGTAATGACAAACAACCACAGCAATTATTGTCTGAAAAGCTCCTGCAGGACGCAGCAGACAAAACATCCTAGCACAGAAATGATCAAAAAGACTGGACTCAGTGCTAATGCTTGAGACTTCAGTGACAAGTATGACCTCTTGTCCTGGACTGCAGTTCTCTATTTTGGGCAGTAACTCTTAAGAGACACTGCAGAATCTGCCACAAGCAAGACCAGGTCCTGAATTATTGCCCTACCACCAACTGTGGCTGTGGAGGCATCTATGTTCCACCTATGACCCACAAGCAGCAGGGAAGCACATCACCAGGGGCCAGCAACATTCTCTTTGATGGACAACATGTCAATCTTACAGTAGCATCATAATTCTAAATGCACATGCAATAAACCATCACATATTAGCCATGGCTATCACAGCACCATAACTCATTGCAAAGTCCCTGCCTTGCTGTGCCTCTGCTGCAGCCAGCCTTCTTCACCAGCAGCAGGGAGAGGGAATGGCTGGAAGTGGGCTGTGCACCCTCACCCCTTTGTCTCTTTGTGTAGCAAAGGAATCGAGAATATCCACTGTGATGAAAACCCAGGAAGAAACTGGGCAATGAGCAGGCTGTGTTACAGTTGGAGATTTTGAACCTTGGTGGCAGAGATTGCTTCAGCTGGCACAGGACTTCCCTAGCGATGTCTAACCAAGACAACGGAATCCCATAGGGTTAGGTCCTCGTCCTCAGTGCACAGGAAAACCAGGCAGGATTCAGAGTTCTTGCAGAGAAGAAGAGAGAAACACTTCCCCCCCTGCCTCCCTGTTCACTGGCCATTTTTCTAAATGGGAAAAACTGTCTCAGACCCTAGGGGTATCTGCCTGCCAGCCTTGGTACAACTGCATTACCTGTCCCCACATACAACTAGTGGGTATGAGAAGCAAAGAAGCAACAGTAAAGGCAGTCAGGAGAATCACACATCTTGTAGACATGCAGTCAGAAGCCAACACAATGGACTACATTTTCCTTGAGTAATTTGCCATTTTTCCAGAAACTAATTACTTGTTTAAATGATTCCAGATGTACAGTATTTGTCCACTCTGGGGCACTCCTATGACTAAACCATGCATTGTGTCACCAGTTTTTTGTTACATAAAGTGAAGAGGTTTGTGTAAGGCAGTCCCTCTGGAAGGCATTCCTCTATATCTACAATTATTTTTCTGCCCCTCCAATACTACTTCTGCTTCAAGTTGTAAAGTAGCAGCTGTTGCCTTTACTTAATAACTATGACTTTAATGCAATACCATGTTGAAAAGACACAGCAACAGTCCAATACCTCCACTAAGCCACTCCTTGGAATTTTCCATCTACAGCTGCCCTGTTCTCCTAAATGAGTACCTATCTCCCTTTTTTTTTCTTCCACTCTCATTCTCACCCTCATCTTTAGAAATCATTATGTTCTTACATGAAGTCCCCCACCTCAGTTTACTCCATTCCCCTAGGCAGTAGATGATATTTTGCAAACTCCCTTCTGTCAGGGAAATTCAGTTGCTAACAAGCAAGATGCTTAAACTCCACATGCAACTTATTTCTTCATGTGCTGCCCAGAAAAGAGAAAATGACCTCCTTTTCAAATATATTTAAAACCAATACATTGATTTCTACAGAACAGCATAGATGGTACAGTTCTCTTACATTACTACTGTATGTTAGGATTTTAAAAACTTTTTTTGGCATAAACCTTGAGCCAGCAAGACATAACACCATGAAGAAGAACAAAGAACTTAAAATCTCTGCTGCAAATTTCCATAGTGAAATGACACAACTGAGTATGCTGTGAAACACACTGTAACAATGTAAAATTTAAGAAAAATCTCAGAATCTATTAGAAAAATATCAGCACCTCTGCCCTAAGGGCATTTCAGCCAGAAAGATATTGTGCCCTTTTACAAGTGGAGACTCTCTGTCTTAAACCTACAGTACAGAAAATATAAATATTAGGCAACCCTGAACAAAAACCCCATTAGAGAAATTCATCATCATTGCAGCCCTCACTTTAGAACTTGGCAATGGAGGATGCCAATTTAGAGGGGATCAGCATGAAACACATTCTAGCTATTAAAGATTCTGGCCTTGTTCCCAGTTTTGCATTTAGTAGTCAAAGAAAACAACGTATATTGAAAAACTGTGTCTATACACTCTGGTGTGCACATACAGAAGGCCTCTTTAGAAACCTTGCCTTAATCACCAAGCAACTTGTGACATCTTGTGCATACCACATTAATCGAGGGAGGAACGCATATGTATTTATGTACTTTAGAAACTGTACATGTATTTACAAACAGGAGGGCAAAAAGCAATGCAAGTTTTTATTTTCAAAACATGCAGGAACAATACACTTAGATCTAAAGCCAGATAGCTGTGCTGTTAACACTGCCCACTTTGAATTGCCTAGCAAAGAATGCTGAAGAACAGATGCGGTTAAGAATAATGGGTCATGAATTAAAGAAAAAGCAAGGGAACAGGAGAAGCTAAACACTGTGGTTAGCAATTTCAGTTACATGAAAGTTTAGTCTTTTCAAAAACAACCACATATAAGAAGGAACCAAGGAGCTCTGGAATATTAAATATTAATCAAGGAAGAGGATAAGAAAACACAACAGAAGCATGAAATCTATTTTACTCCTAATAGACATCCAACATTCTAGAACAGAGACTGCTACTAAAATTGATTGAGAATACAAAGACTGATAAACTAAAATTTCCCTGTGTACACAGCTCTCTCTTCCCAAACAAGAGAGCTAGACATGAGTATCTCTAGCAGGAAATTCTTTGATCCTTTACACTATAGCTATATATGGGCTTCTGTCCGCATCTTCTTTCTGATAAGGAAGGATAAGGGTTTCCAAAATCCTGTTTCCAAACGGAAACGAAGATGACTATCACTCAAGATACAAGAGCAGGGTCCTGAAAGGCAACAGATTGGAACTGCTGTTCCAAAGTACGGTTCCTAGATCACACACTGGGCTTTTTTCCCCTCCTTTTTAATATTTAGATTTTTTTTTTTCCTGGGAAGACAGAGAAAATCCTAGCAGCCTGAACAACCTTAATTCCTTTTCATGTGTTATCTGCCCTGACATACGTGTGAAGTGTATACAACTCGGTTTATTCAGGGCTTTCTCCCACGCAACAACTCCTTTCTCTTCTTATCTAGTGCAACAGTGAAGTAATGAACACTGAACCTGCATTATCACAGTAATTTCCACAGGAACAGTATGATTACAAGCTTTAAACTGGAGAGAAATTGTTGAAGAAAACCAGTGAGAGTAAAAAGAACAGTCTATGAAGAGAGGCTACTGTTAGAGCTATACATTAAGTTTCAGAATTGTTAGGAGATATTCAGGCACCCCTTTAAGAACAGGAAACTGAAGAAGGCAAGGAAGACAGCAGAGTAAGGACAAGTCATCCAAGATCAGTCTCACCTCAAATTAATAGGGAGATCTTAAGACTGAAGCATTAAGTATACTAAAAGAAGTATTTAATAAGAAGAAGCTGCTTAGAAGACTCATTATTAGCTAAGGAGTAGAGTCTTTAAAATGCCCCGCAAAGTTTTTAGTTGGTTCTCTCAGCGAAACCTTGCAGATAAAGCAGATTGATTATTCTTGAGTTTACAGCCTACCACAGCAAAGGGGCTCACACAGAATTAAAGACACATGGACTCAGAAGGAAGGATATCTGCAGTATCTGGGGAACACAGTGGAGATAGGGAACTGAAAGTGCTGCAGAAGATGAACTCCAAGAATGTGAACTGCTAAAGAGAAGCGTAGTTCATTATTTCACAGATGTGTGATACTGTTGTGCTTTCTGTTATTTACTATAGTAAATCCAGTAACTAAGTTGTGAAACAGCTTTGCTTTGTGCTACCAGTGAGGTCTTGGAGGAAGGAAGGAGACATGAAGGTGCACAGTGCTGATGTTTCCTCACCACCGAGCAGGGATGTTCTGAGGTGATGAATTCACCTAACGCAACTCTGATCTTTCTCACCTCCCCAGTCAGTTCAGCCACACTCAAGACAGGCTATGCCTGAGCTGCTATCCCTACCTAAGATACCTGGCTCCTGACCTGTGTGGTGTGAACTTAAGTCTTTCAGACCCAGGCTGTCTGGCACATGGCTCCCAGTGGGTCTGCAGTGCCAAGTAGGTGAACACAGGTAGAGCCAGACTAATTTACCTGCCCCACTAGCTCATGTCCTACCATTATTCTCCTATAGGAATATTTCATGTCCAAAGTAACAGCTACTTAGGTTAACCGTTCATTTCCAGGAGATAAACCACAGGATACCATGTCTGGCTGGGCAAATAGCCTGTATGCTCCTGTCTGAAGGTGCAAGCTAGGAACGAGCCACTCACAAACCTTAAATAGCACATGCCAGCTAGGAAACCCTGTAACTCTGGCTTACAAAAATTGCAAAGCAATGTGGGAAAAAGAGGTTAGTGGGAAATCAGCAAATACAGGGCTACGTTCCAGAGATCAAGTTTGCTTTATGTGTTTGCTCAAGCAAGAAAGTAACCTTAAACCTCTTTTCTTAGAGTTATATTCCTTTGTCTTCTTTCAGCAATCCCATCTTGTTTTTCAAACAAGCACAAACTAAAACTACTAGTTACAGTGAAAACAGACACTTAACTGTAAGTCCCTCCCAGATGTCTAAAGTACTAAATTTATTGTCAGCTAAATAAAAATCCCCACCATCTCCAAGGTTATAATTCGGGAAAGTGAAATTAAAAAAGACAAAAAAAACAACCCAAAACTCCCTTACATTTTAGAATTCCAAACCAGAATCCCATCTGTCTTCTTAATCTGATTTTTGTGATTTTACTAAGCCTAAACTTTCTTTGAGCAATCCCTCCTGTGCCATCTGCTTTATGAACCACACTACCTCCTCTGAAATTCAAGTAACCTTAAGACAACTATTTCTGCAGTCACAACCCCTTTTCTTAGACTCATACCTGCTCTGTATAGTGCTGTGAACTCCCAGTTTGAGAACAGTTTCCTTCAGAACTGGTATCATCAGCACTGCCTGTTATATATAACTCCTGAAAAGTAAAAAGCACTTATTTAAAAAACTCAAATATTACATAGAAAGAAAAACGCTGAGCACTCTGAGCGATGGCACACTGTCAGATCTCAAATACTGAAGGTAATAGAGAAAAGTTATGGCATAGATTGAAAGTCAAAGATTACAATCTTATTCAGGTTCCAATCCTGCTATTTGTTTTTTGTGCACACACCCCTCTGGTCAGGCAGACTCTTGCTGACGTCTGCTGGACAGACGATCTCTTTTGGGAACAGGCTGACACAGGCAGCCATTATCACTTACTTTTTCCTCTGGGGGTCCCTATCCATGGACAATGTCAGGATATTACCAAAGAAAGAGATATGTAAATTATCTAGGTTTTGATTAGAGAAAGAAAACTTCCTGCTCATTTAAAATCTTTAAAATACTATTGTATCCACTGCTCTGATTGAGCTTACTGGCAACATGCCTGGTTCTGAATCCTACATGCCAAATGGATAAGCCTTTCTGTCTCTTAACCTTTTGCCCATGTGCAAGGTCACCCCTGAGCCAAACAATAGGATTTTCTTTTATCTAAAGGAAAACATTTTCTTAGCAAAAGGGGTGTTCCCCAGCCCTTAGCCACAGATGCCAACTCTAGCATTTATATATTGTCACATCTTTCTACTATATTGCATCAAGAAGTCTCTACTGACAATCAAGCTTCAAATTAGTAGCATGAAAAAAAAAGGAACTGTGTATGTAAAATCCCTCCAGAAACACAGATTCTGGGCTTTAGTCATGTGGTCACCTGAAAAGGTAAGTTCACTTGTACCACCTCAAATGGCAAACTAGGCGTTCCTGTAGAAGAATCACAGCAAAGACAATTACATCCTCTGTTCAGAAAAGATTCTGGTCCATGTGAGATGAAAACCAGTGGTGCTTCACAACCTTCCCCTCCACTACAGGTGACCAAAGTCTCAAATGTGTTGAATGTCAGCCACTGATTTCCAGGGAACCCAACAACCCAGAGGGTGGGACGCAGGAGGTCTGCTTCTGCCCATCACTTATTCAACAATTCTCCAGATTACACCTGGGCTACTGCAGTCCCTGGCATCAAGCAGAAAGATCCTTCTGTCCTCAGCACTGGTCAGACCTCAAGTAAGGACCACACAATAGGACTTGGTTCTCAGCCCCAGACTTCAAGGATTTAAAGAGCAGAGAGCTTCAGAGAAGAGCCACATCCAGGGGACAAGGAAGCAGCCTTGGCATCAGCTGTCTGAAGAACTCAACCTCATCAGTTATTGTAAGAGAAAGCTGGATCACTGTGCATTAACAGGGAAACTGCAAAAAAGAGTCAGCTGAGGACCTTTAGTCTTGCTGACAAGGTGCAGTATGACGCAACAGCTGTACAAAACAAAACCACAACGTACTAGCTGGCAGATTCACTCACACTGACAGACTATGGGAATTTATTTTTTTTAAAATAGCTTTGATTTTTTTCTAAGGTGTTTAATTAAGGCTTACAGTTAATGTTTAATTCTGCAGTTAACAGAACTAATGTTTGATTCTATTTATGAAGTCAGTTCTAATGGTTGTCTGTGGTGATTCTTCTTAGCATTGCAATCTGAATTTGCTAAACACTTTCTGCTTTACAGGTCATGGGGAAGACTATCAGTACAGTCCTCTGCACACTCTCCGCACTTGCAGTGAGAAGACAATAATGAACTCTCACACCTCAGAAGTCAAAGAACTACTTTTCTCCCCCAAATGTACAACTGTTGTGAGCTGATGAACAGTTTCCCACAACAACTGACTGCTATTTCTGAATTTTTATTTTATTCCTCTCTTTTGCTCTTCCTCAGAAACAGTAGAGATCTGATGCAAGGGGAGCTGCACAGTCCAGTCTCTTGCTGGTGCAGGGAAACTCCTCCGTGCTGCCTGATAAATGCATGGTGCTCACCTCATCTCAGCAGACAAAGATCTGGGGTCATGCAGGAGGCTGCTCTTAGGCGGCACTTGAAGCTTTTTTGTCCCTCCCTGCAGCATAGTTTGATTAATCTGAATTTCTCATCTAACATTCCTTGCTACTGCAAGTGCCTTAGGCATTGTTGGCATTGTGTGTGGTTCCTCTAGTGCCCAAGAATTTAATTTCCAGAGGACTGAAATGGTTTAGCCTAACTAAAATTGATTATTTCAATCCTCAATATCCAAATAAGGCACAGTGGTCTGAGATATGAAGGTCAGACAGGTGTAATACTTGCCACTTCAGGTTTAAAATCTATTAAAGTATCTGAAAATGCACATGATAAATATATTAGTTTACCTCTAAACACATTTTCTTCTAGTCATAATGACACAAATTTTAGTAAAATTTCACAAAAGGAACTCTAGTATAAGAACTAGAGCAATTGATGTGATCTCCAGTGACACACAGGCTACTACTACACAACCACGTACTCAAGGGGGAGAGAGGCAGTTAAAGGATAGTAAAATAAAGACATTCATCCCACAACTGTCCAATATTTAAAACAGGATTTGCATATCCTGACCTGCTAGAGCCTAGAGCATTACCACCAAAATTGATTTCCTGGGAAAAAAAAAGTAGGAATTTGCTTTAATTTAAAAAGTGAGAGCATTATGCATGATGCCCAGAGGAGACTCTGATACCCTATTGTTAGGTGATTAAACAAGCATTTATAATTAACTTGAAACTCACATGGCTATGAAACTCATGAATAGCAACAGTTGCATTAACAGGTCTGCCTTTGATCTGTACAGGAACTGTGTATGACACAAACTAATTTCATTTCCAAACCATGTATTTTAGACATGTAATTATATAAAGGTACTTTCACAGAGCACAGATGGATGTTGACTTTCAAAGCCTTAGCACGCCACATGCATAATGCATTGTTTTCAACACACAAAAAAGTAATCCCTTCTTAAACCCTCTCCCTCTTTTTTTTTTTTTCCCCTAATAGAATGTTTTGAAAATCTGTTTGGAGATCAATATGAAATGAAAAGTTAATGCACCAACATTTTTCAGTTGCTGAGCATTACAGTTGTCCACTGACTCAAGATCACAGCTGATTTGGCAACATCAGCTCTGAGGAAAACAACACACAGCTCAGCCACTGCACAGCTCACAGGGATTTTCAATCAAGTTTATACCTACTGCATCACTGGTCTAGTCTGGGGGAGAACAGAAAAGGAAAGCTTAGATTTCACAGTATCACAGCTTAGATTTCCTCATTTGCCATGAATGGATGCGTTAAATTTTCTTGGAGTAACTTTTTCCTAACTATCAATGACAGTATTCATCTGGTGAAAACAATTTAAAGCAGAGGTATTCCATGTTTAAGTGAAGCAGTGTATGTGCAATGGAGCAGGGCGGAGAGGAAAACTATGTTTTTGCTTATTTTCAAGTAGCTTTAATCTTAGGTTTAATCTCTACTTATTTCCTAAACCTGTTATGAAAGCAGAGCTTTGGAAAAGTGTATTTTTACTTGAGTGGTTTGTCTTTTTTTTAAACAAACTACTGTAATGATTCAAACAAACCCAACTCTAGTGACTGTCTACATACCCACAGCAGTAAGTCAACTTCCACTGTCATCTCAGGTCTCCACTGACATGAGCTAATACTGGTACAGAGGCAAACTTGTGTTAAAATTTTGTTTAGGCACTTCCAAATAACTAAATAGTCAATTTACATTCACTTAATTTCTTGAAGAGGTTATTCCCAGCTGGCAGACAGGAAAATTAAGCATAGCTGAAGCCACACCTATAACAACCTCATTCCTCCAGCCCAGCCGCTCAACTACACCAGGGCAAAAAAAGAAGCACCCTTTCCCCTGCCACCTCCGTGGCCTGGCTGTGAACTCCTCCTTCTCTTGTGCTACCTGCCACTGTGTCCATTCCATTCACTGACGGAGCAGAGCACCAGCCTAAAAAAACAAATAGCTTGTTGCCAGGTTATCAGGTTGAACTGCTGAAGCAATGCAGCCCCATGTGCCAAAATCAGCAGAACAGGCAGGTGAGGAGGTGGAGAGGCATGAAGTCTTCTGGCCAAATGCAACACTGGCAGAGGAGAAAAGGGGAATCTGGGACCATTCCTCCTGGGTCATGGGCAATTAGGTCAGGTCAGCTGTACCACAGAACCATAGCCTTAGAGTCCTCAAGTAACTGCACCCCTACCATCACTTTGGAAGGATGCCCTTCTCTCTCCTGGATTAGACAAACTTTAGGTCAGCATCTGACATGAACAGTTGTGGTCAACCTTTATAGAATCATAGAAGGGTTAAGGTTGGAAGAGACCTTAAAGATCATCAGGTTCCAACTCCCCTGCTATGAGCAGGGACACCTCACATCAGACCAGGCAGCACAAAGCCTCATTCAACCTACCCTTGAACACCTCCAGGGAAGGGGCTTCCACAGTTTCCCTGGGTAACCAGTATTCCAGGGTATTCCAGTACCTTACTACCCTCATGGTGAAGAATGTCTTCCTGATGTTAACCTAAATCTCTCCTCTTTCAGTTTAAAGCAACTGAAGGTTAGCCAATGCCCGACTACAGAATCTCAACCACTGCACATCAGCACTACAGCAGGAAAATATCCTGGCTCCGTAAAGGCATGACACATGTGTCAGTGCAAGGGAAGGGTTTCATTTGGAGCAGTGAGGACTTTCACATGGGCACTATGCAGGATTTACAGCTCCTCTTGATACCCAAAAGCCTCTACAGCCACAGTTGGCATTTTTGTCTGGGTGGAAGGAGGAGATTGCTGTTGATTCCTCCTGATTCTACAATTGTTTTCATCAGCAACTCTACATGCCAGTTGCTGTGACTTCTGTTTTCTCCTCACTATAGCACTAGGATTAATCACACCCCTTGCCTCCATTGAAACTTTCTCACCCTCCAAAATATTAATTATAATTCCAAGTTTTAAAGTTTTTTCTCTTCAAAACAATGTTTACATTTCCTTACTTGGAATAACTAAAAAAAAATAAATTAACTTGTGATCTCGGTCTTCTTCTAGATAATCAATGAAGCCTTTAAATAAAATAGAACCCACTACTGTTCCTAACAGTGTAAAGCATCTCCAGCTTGACATGCAGCCATTTGTTACCTTTCGTTTACTCCTTCATCCAATTTCAGTCACACAGAAGCAGCCTTCTCATCCAAGTCAACTAATTTTCCAATTAATGTTTTTGAAGCAGGCTGTTCTACTGTCTGTATTTCAACTGTGATGACTGCCTATAGATGCAGAGCATAACAACTGACTCTGTGACCAAAACTTGCTTCAGTTTAAATTATCCCAACAGCCACGGTGATCTTAATTCTTGGCAGGGGATTAATTTTAGGGCTGTTAAGAGTCCACAAAACATAAAATTTCTAATCAGATTAGAAGTGTGAATTTAAAAAACTGCACTTTCTATTCTCTTACACCAGAAGTCAATTATGTAAATGAGAACTTATTGTCTCTTCTGCAAATTCACAATCACAACTATCAAGTACACTTTTAGTTATATTTGCAACATTCACCTTTCTTACAGAATCATTTTCTATAAAAACATGAAGTGGCAATTACCAGGGTTAGGTACGATACTAATCCAGCTTATATCCCTTTCATGACTGGGAAGAGCACTGGAGCATACCTTTGTATTTGTGGTCATCTTGCAGCCCTGATTCCCTGTGTTGCTTGTCACAGTCCCACAGCTACCACTGTAGCTAGAAGACGAAGGTTTTTAACCTGGAGGTCCATAGTCCTGGCTTTGGGAATGTGTGAAAGTGCCTTGGAAAAGTGTGTTCATTTAGGCTCCATAATTGCCTGCCTAGGGGAGTCTGAAGGGGACTGCATTATGCTGAAAGACTCCTGGGGTTCACATATCAGGATGCTGAAAACCAACAAACCACTGCAGAGATGGCTGATCAAACGAATCTGAGAGCTATCAGTTCTCTTCAGAGATAAATCTCAGTGTAAAAATGCTGGGAGTGGCCAATAAACGATGAAAGAAGGCTGAGAGGAGCTGGTCAAGGGCTATGTGCCCCAGAGCTCAGGGAATAAAGGAGGGTGTGACTGACACAGCCACAGCAAACAGAGCTGACTTTATCTGAACACAAACTGGACCCAAGGGTGGCCTTTGTTTTAGATGAACAGCTATGTCAGTTGAGTGGATCAACTGACTACACCACATGAAAAGAGTGAGAATGTCTCTCAGACCAGCATGTGGAGGGGGTGTATACATGGTTCAGCCCAGCACAAAGTATAAAAACTGAACAAGTAACTAACTAAATAAATAAATCGGATAGTGGTGCAAATGTCTTCCTGAGTTATTCAGACCACTATGGGAGGAGTGAGTACAGAGTATAAAACCTTGAACAACTAACAAAAGACTTAAAGAGAGCAATGGGCTTGAGCTGGCTTCAACCCATGTATTTCATGGGTTCCAACCCACCTACCTCGTGGCTGGTACTGCCCAGCATCATAGTTTTGAGTACATTACAGAGATCAGCAACACGGATTGAACTGGTGTTGTGATTGAGCTGTTCTTGCGATTGCTAGATTTCTTATTTGTTAAGTACAAGTTACATTGATACTGTGATTTCATTACATTTCCTGTCACTGTGCTAAATCAAAAATCCCATCTTCAAATAAATATATTTGATATTAAATATTACACCCTCCATATGTGGTCTACCCAAAAGAGCCCAGTCAGAGAGAACTAGATTCCAAAAAATGCTCATATTATTTACCAGTTTGTCCAAGTAACAACAGGAAGGGTTTATTGCTTATGCTGACATAAACCCATTTTACATATTTATAGTTGTAAACATCACTCTGCTTAAGCTCTCTCCCACTATACACAATCCCTCAGATTCTTTCATTTTACCTCTTCTGTTTCTCATACCTGTGCTACAGAACACTTATCTCTTTAAAAGTAAACACTACCAACAAAGGGTTGCTACATTGACAAACACATCCACTTTCCTGTTAACAATCAGATCCGTAAACTAAAAACATTCCAGCAGCCAGCTCTGCTTCCTTGGCACAATCAGCAACACTTATATTTTGTAGGCCCTTTAGTCTATGCATTATGCAAGCATTTAATAGTAATATACTGGTTTAAACAAACGCATTATGTTTGGAAAGTCATCTGCTGTGTACAAACAATCTTTAAAAGAGAAGAAGGAGGAAGGAATCTCTAAATAACAAAATCACACAGATGCTAAACTTACATACAGCAGCTGCATTAACAGGATCTGCTGGGGAAATCTGCTGAGAAGCAAATGAGAAAGCACATACACAAGACCAATAATCAACTTCTGAAAGGACCAAATATGTTCTCTTATTTTGTGCCCAAAATAAAGATAAGGTTAGTACATGAGGGGCTTATCTGTCATGCATACATGTCCACCTACACATTTGCTAAATTAAACAAAAAATACAAGCTACATCTAATGACACTAAAAATGACCCCTCCCTCCCTCCCCCCCAACTTTACATTTGGCCCTGGGAGAAAAACCTAAACACATAGCAAATGGATGCATATGTGCATATACAAACTCCTAACTCATAGGAAGCAGTTTTGCAAGAAAGCTGATGTATTTATTTCAACAACTGGTCTAATAAGCCAAGTGGCCAGTTGCTCTCTTGAGATTACAAAATTACGTAAGGGAAGAGTAGAAGGACAGCAGGTTGCTGCTATTGCTCAAAACCATCCTGAATTCCCAGGCAGCCTTATACTACCATATAAGCATGACAGGGACTTCTAGCTATCAGCTCGGACAGCACAAGATGCATCATTTTAAAGAGCAGAGGAAATGTAGCAGCACTCATCTAGTAGGAACTGGATATCTACTCCAAAGATGCTGTTGATCAGCTGAGTTGCCTTAAATGTTTACAAAGAGAAATGGACTTCAGGTCCACTGCTCTAGTACAGCATCAGCCTATCAGGGTCATAAATAGCACGTAACATGCAAGATAATTACTCAGCTAAGTATAGACACTCAGTGTATAGATACTCATTTAAAACATGGTAATTCTTACATTACCTGCAGTACCGAAGCCAAGCAAATTACACTTCATATTTTTTTAAATGCCCATATATAAAACATTGCTGTCTTCTTCAGAGCCTGCTTCTGAAATTCATTTTGTTATTGCCATGTTAAAACTGCAGTGAGGTGGGTAGAATTTCTGAAAACCTCTTTTCAACTAGGAACCTCAGCAAACTTATTTCCTAGAGCCACTGCTCCAATTCCCTTGGTAGAAAGAAAGTTAGAACAACAAATAGGTACCTGTGAAGCGAAATAGGTGAGATTTCATTATTCACTTAAGGATGCAGTCTAAACTTGCTCTCAACCGAGACAACAGTAGGAGCAGATGGCTTTGCAAGCCGTAAGCTGCTTTTGCACTAAAGCTTTCTGTGAACTAGAGGAATTTCATTGCAAAATGCCTTGGGGACTGCTTGTTGCATCACCTGTAACAAAGCCTGGATTCTTTACATGTGGCCTTGGCCTTTATAAGTCTCTTGTTTCTTCTGCCCAGGATCTGTGAGAGGGCATAGGGAAAGGGTCTGCAAAAGGGAGCTGTACTCCAAGCCAGGAAGCCTCTCTGGCTGGCCAAGCAGGTGCAGAGCATCTTCCCCAGCCCAGGTTCCTGATGCAGTGTAAGAAGGTGCTCAAGGCTGATGGTGTCACCCAAGAATCCTGACCTGATTTTTCACTGTAGTGCTGAAGTCTCATTTGACTTAAAACCACCACATCTTGATATGCTACTAGCGAAATAACACATGACAAGATGTGTTTATTACCTCAGCTATGAATTCTCAGAGCTGTTTGTCAAATACCTTCCTTCATGTTTAGGTACCTTTGCCCTGCTATCCTCCCAACCCAGACTCCATCACTTGCTAATAGATATTTTTTAAGAAGGAAAATGAGAAAGCTCTGCTAGTGATAAATTCAATCAACTGATTAAGTTTAAAAACCTGAAATAAATTCATTTACACTAAAGCAATCTGTCTTTTTAAAATTTAATTTTATTTAAGTAGCAGTGATAGCAAATATGTTTAAATACCAGAACTGCCACAGTTCAAAAAAGCCCACATACTTCACTTTTGGCTCTCTGTGCAAAAGTTTGGGACAACCCATCTCAAGTTTAACACAGGACTGTACCAATGTGCAGAGAAATAAATACAAGTTTCAGAAATTCATCCTACACTGCGTACAGAAATTTGAAATTACTTTAAAATTAAGTTCGCTCATTTTTCAACAGCTTCATTGCTTCACGCTACTTTCTTCCCAAAGAGTCCTCTTGAAAATATGCATCCGTTTTAGATCTGTTAGTGCAGTGACAGCAGGTACACTGAGTCCAGCAAGTGTAGCAGCTCAGTTCTGAAGTTACCAAAACTTCTTCCCAAATCAGTTAAATTCAGAGTAAGAAGCAGCCCACAAAATCATGTAGCACAGTATTTTCAGTATCTGGAACACT